TCATGACAATTGGTCAAGAAACATTTCCAGTGTTTGAAAATATCTGTTGAATGTCCCAGCTACTCGGGAGGCTGAGGCAGGAGAATCGCTTGAACCCAGAAGGCGGAGGTTGCAATGAGCTGAGATCACACCACTGCACAGCCTGGGCAACAAGAGTGAAACTCCATCTGAAAAAAAAAAAAAAAAAAGAGAAAATATTTGTTGAATGAAGTATTCATGGAGCTCCTCCACATGCCAGGTACAGTGTGTGGCAATGCCCCTCGGGGCTGACACTTTAGTGAGAGGAGCAGGAAATGATCAGGATAAATTATGCAATTACATGGCCTGTTGTATAATGATATGGGCTGAGAAGAACAGGAAAGCAGGCAGGGACAGGCCCAGAGTGTGTGCTGTGGAGGGCTGGGGAGTGAAGCAGACATACAGGTTACAGTCACTGAATTCGTTTGAGCCTCACAACCACCCTATGAAGGTGCTATAACTACCCCCATTTTAGAGATGAGCAGCTGAGTTGCAGAGAAGATATTTGCCGAAGGTCATGCAGCCACTAGTAGAGCCTGGATTTTTACCTGGAGTTCATACTTTCAAGTTGAGTCCTCCCACCATGCTAAAACCACCTCTCCTTGACAAGGCCAGGTCTCAGCAAAGATTCTGAAGGAAGTGAGGGGGTAAACTTCACAGACATCTGGACACAATCAACTTTCCAGGCAGAATGAGAGCACGTGCAAAGGCCCTGAGTCAGGCATGTGCCTGGTATATTTGAGGGACGGCCCAAAGGCCAGCATAGCCGGGGCAAAAGGAGCAGATGGAGGAGAGACTTGGAGGTGGCGCAGGGTTGCCAGCTTTTACTCAAGACGAAGCAAGGCCATGGGGAGTATGGAGCTGAGGAGGAGCAAGTTCTGACTTAAGGCCCAACCTGATTCTTCTGGCTTCTGTGCTGGGAGCAAGGGCAGAAGCAGGACACCAGAGAGGGCACGAACAATCCAGGCGCAAGGTAACGGTGGCTTGGTCCACAGCAGTGGCAGCAGGGTAGGTGAAGGGGGGCCGCTGGCACTGCTGACAGCTTGCGTGTGAGAGGGGAGGGTGGGAGAGGTCTCAAGTATGGCTTGGGCCTGAGTGGTTGGAAGGACGGAATTCCGTTGACTGAGATGGGGGCAGCTGTGGAAGGAGCCGCTTCATAAAGAACTTTCCATGTCCATTTCCCTCTGAATCCCTGGGTACCCTGAGGTAGGTATTGGGACTTGAGGCAGTTCCATGATTTGCCCGGGATCACTCGGCTGGAAGGTAATAGAGCCAGGGCCAGAAGCCAAATATCCTAGGGTTTGAAATTTTGTCTCATTTATTCAATCAATAAACATTTCAGGAGCACCTCCTTTGTGCCAGGTTGATGGAGGAGGCCACATGAGCCAATGATCTTGGCAATGGTCACCTCACATCTGCATGAGCAGTGGTGAGGAGAAGCTGAAGGAGCCCTAGGAGCCAATAACGGGCAGGAGGGGAGGGTGCTGGGAAGCCAGGGAAGGCTTCCTGGAGGAGGAGAATATGACATACAGGGACCACAGAGGACCACAGGTTCCCAGAGGACGACTGTCCATTGGGAAGTTGCAGAATCTTTTGTTTTGTTTTGTTTAAGTGTTAATAATTGACACATAGAAGCTAAGTGTGGTGGCAAATGCTTGTAGTCCCAGCTACTCAGGAGGCCAAAGTGGGAAGATCCTTTGAGGCCAAGAGTTCAAGAGCAGCCTGGGCAACATAATGAGACATCCATCTCTACAAAAGTTAAAAAACTGGCAGCCATAAAAAAGGATGAGTTCATGTCCTTTGCAGGGACATGGATGAAGCTGGAAACCATCATTCTCAGCAAACTAACACAAGAACAGAAAACCAAACACCGCATAGTCTCACTCATAAGTGGGAGTTGAATAATGAGAACACATGGACACAGGGAGGAGAACATCACATACCGGGGCCTGTCAGCAGGGGAGGGGCTAGGGGAGGTTCAGCATTAGGAGAAATATCTAATGTAGATGATGGGTTGATGGGTGCAGCAAACCACCATGACACATGTATACCTAGGTAACAAACCTGTACGTTCTGCACATGTATCTCAGAACCTGAAGTATAAAAAAAAAGTTTAAAAACTAGCTGGGTGTGGTGGCTCAGGCCTGTAGTCCCAGCTACTTTTGAGGCTGAGGTGGGAGGATCTCTTAAGCCCAAGAATTTGAGGCCAGGCCTGGACAAGGTAGTGAGTCTCCATCTGTAAAGAAAAAAAAAAAAAAAGAATTGAGAGATAATGCACAAACCATACAACTCACCCATTTAAAGTGTACAGTTAATGGCTTTTAGTATATTCACAGGGTTGTGTACCTGTTACCACAGTCCGTTTTTGAGCATTTTCATTACCTCCAAAAAGAAACCCCACACCCCTTAGCCGTCACTGCCTCCCAGTCCCTGTCCCCACACCGGGAAGCCTGAAGCAGCCCAGATCTACTTTCCTTCTCTACAGTGGCACCTGTTCTGGACATTTCATCGAAATAGAATCATGCAGTGTGTTGTCTTCTGCATCTGGCCTCTTCCGCTTAGCATCACGTTTCAAAGTTCATCTGTACTGGAAGCTGCAGAATCTTTAACAGCATCACAGACAGCCCGGACCCAAGAGACTGTCTGGGGTGCCTCCCGACCATTAGAAAGAAGTGGGGCCAAGCGCCCTGGCTTATCATGCCTGTAATCCCAGCACTTTGAAAGGCTGAGAGGCCGAGACGGACAGATCACCTGAGGCCAGGAGTTTGAGACCAGCCTGGGCAATATAACGACATTTCATCTCTGCAAAAAATACAAAAATTAGTCAGGTGTGGTGGTGTGCGCCTGTAGTCCCAGCTACTCAGGAGGCTGAGGCAGGAGGGTCGCTTGAGCCCAGGAGGTCGAGGCTGCAGTGAGCTATGATTGCATCACTGCACGCCAGTCTGGATAACAGAACAACACTCTGTCTCAAAAATAAAGAAGGGGGAATCAAGGAGGAGACTTGCCGTTCTGTTAGCAAGGAAGAGGTGGGGAGCTTGAGGAGGTCTCGGGTTCCTCGGCCAGGGCCCTGCCACACCCTGCTGTGCTGTGCACAGCCCGCCACCTCTTTTCCTTCAGCTTTGGGCTTTGGGTGAATTTGGCTAAAAGTGATAACTCGGTCAGGAATGAATCTTCTCAAACACTGGTCTTTCCCACCCTGGCAATTTTCACACCTTATGGTGAATCTTGAAATCTTTTATGCATCTTCGAGAATTTGTTTCTACTGACTCAGAATGTTTTGGAGTTTGTATTTTCTTTTCCTGCTCCTTAACACTTTTATTCAGGTGGCTATGCCTGTTTTCTTGGTTTGGTGATGTTCTCCCTGGGGGAGGCTGCATCGTCCCGGAGTCAGATGTCTGGGTTGAAGGCCCTGCCCTGCCTCCTCCTGGGTGCCTGGTTGTCAAAGCTGTCTGTGCCTTGCACGCTTCCTTTGGAAAATAGAGATGTCATTGTAGGGCAGTGGCAGGAAGGAAGTGAGGTAAAGCCTGTAATAGGCTTGGCACAGAGTAGGTGCCGGAGGTTTGTTTCTTGATCAGATGCTCAGGAGAGATGGCAAGGCCTTTCCAGAGCCCTGAGATAGCAAGGGGAGAAAGCTGAGCCTCCCCCACTAGGGACCACCTTTTTCTCCTCATTCCTTCCCTCCCATAGCCCGTTGGACCTGGACCTCTCCTCCCAGGGCTCAGATGTGGAAAGCCTGAGTTCAAATCCCAGCCTACCACTCAGATTCTGTGTCCCCACACCCGCTTGGCTTCCTCTGTGTCTGTTTCTTGACATGTAAAATGGGAGGGCAGAGGGTGGAGGGTGGGAGGAGGGTGTTCCACTGAGGCCTCCAGGACAGCTGGGATGGGTATGGAATAGAAGGGCCTTTTTCTTCTCCCAGTAGGCCCTGGTTCCTGCTGATTTGCTGATTTGTGGTCTTTTGTTTTTTGAGATGGAGTCTTGCGCTGCCGCCCAGGCTAGAGTACAGTGACACCATCTGGGCTCACTGCAATCTCCGCCTCCTGGGAGGTTCAAGCAATTCTTCTGCCTCAGCCTCCTGAGTAGCTGGGATTATAGGCACACGCCACCATGACCAGCTAATTTTTGTATTTTTGATAGAGACAGGGTTTCACCATGTTGGCCAGGCTGGTCTCAAACTCATGACCTCAAGCGGTCCGCCCGCCTTGGCCTTCCAGAGTGCTGGGATTATAGGCATGAACCACTGCGCCCGCCTGGTTGCTGCTGATTTAAAGATCCAGGCAGGAGCAGTGACAGCTGTTCAGGGGAAGTGGGTGGAGAGGGACACCTGGCTTCCCTCTGCTGTCACACGAGACATGCCACATGGAGGTGGTGATGCAGTGAAGGGCCTCTTAGAAGGGCCTTTATTGGGCCTTCTAAGAGGTCCTTCACTGCATCACCATCTCCATGTGGCACATACTATGTGCCAAATATTTCACCTGCACTGTCTTCTCAGTCCTCACAGTATCCTTCAGAGGAGGCACTCTTGTTCCCATTTGGCAGGTGGGGAAACTGAGGCTCAGAAAGGGGAAGCTGCCTCCCTGACGTCACCCCACAAGTGAGAGGCTGAGCTGGGATTTGAACTGAGGACTGCATGCCCCTTTCCCACCTCCCTCCATCTGGGGAAAAGGAGGGAGAAGCAAGACAGGGAAGGATTTGAGCCTTTGGAACCCAGCTTCCCAGCTGCTGTGGGGATTCTGTGGGTGGTGGGAGAGGCATCGTAAATATGCATGACATGCAAATACTCCTTTAAAAAAACAATGTGGGTGCCCACATGAACCGGGATGCCAGGGTGCTCTAGAAAATGTAGTGTTGTATAAACACTTGGGTTTCTGTGACCACTGCTGCATGTCGTCTCCCTCATGTCCCCAGGGCCAGTCCAAGGGTCTCAGGTGGAGGGCTTACCTCCAGCACCTCCTAATCACCATTCCTCCCCATTCCTGCAGGCACCCGTGCCTCCCCCTGCCAGGAACCTTGGGGCCCTGTGTGTGACGAGGACCTGGTGGCCCCCGGGGCACTGGCAGGGCCCCTTTCCCAAGCTGCTTCCCGCCAGCACCTCTGATGGAGTGCCTAGAGGGATGTGTGCGCCAGCCCTCAGTCCAGTGCCCGCTCCTGAGCTGACACCTGCTGGGCCCCGACAGCTTGCCGTGTTTCCTGTGCCCGTAGCTCTCTGGTTGGTAAGTAACTGCGTCCACAGGTCTGGGCTCCTCACCAGCCCCCATGCTTGGCACAGTTGGGAAATGCCCAGCCTCACTTCCACTGGCACCCACATGCTGGCAGAGGGACCTCAGTGAGAGTTTGTGTATGTCTGGGCACCATTTATAGTTCAACTGACCCATCTTAGCCAGTCCTCCCTACAACCAGGAGGTGGGTGTGGTGATCATACCCATTTTCCAGAAGAATTAGCCTCAGAGAGGGGAAGCCACCTTCCTGGGATGCACAGCAAGCCCAGCTCTGTCCACCTCAAAGCCCAGCTCTTGCCACACCCAACCAGGTGGGGGCAGGTGGTACACATAGACTCAGGACAGGAAGGGAGCCGTGCTGAAGGCCATGGAACCTTTAGGACCCCCAGGGCAGCTTGAGGGGAGACTTCAGAGTTCTTGAATCTTGGGGAGCCCTGCATTCCTGCCCCTCTGGCTTGTTCTCCCCATGCTCCTCGAGTTCCCACCTTGACAACGAGATGAGGTGCTGGGCCTGCCCTCGTCTCTGACCCGTCTATCTGGGGGTGTGACCGCAGTGCCACCACTTCACCATGCTGCTTGCATCTTTTCTTCACCTTCCACCTCCCAAAGCTCTGCTGGCACAACAGTCTAGTTCACAGATGAGGAAACTGAGGCTCAACCAGGCCAAGGGGCTTACACGCAGGTTCACCTAGCCACCACTAAGGACTACATGGGGCCACTGGGGTAGGATCTGCCTCTTTCTCTGGCCTCTGCTCTACAAGGACAAAGAACAGCCGCTTTATTCCCCTCTGGCCAGCCAGCAGCTGGCCCCATGCCTGGCATACAGTGGGTACCCAGCAAATAACTGTAGAAGGAAGGAAAGAGGGAGAGAAGGAGGGAATCCTCTCTCACCTCCCTTTACCCAGACAGCAGCAGGACATGAGAGCCTGCTGGCCTTTTGGCCAGTACCACTGCCTGCTGCCCCAGATGGCTTGCAGTGAGCCCATGCCCTCAGCAGGGTGGCCAGCCCCTCTGGTCCTGATTTTCTCATCTGCCAGAGGCTGCCCGGCTTCCCTGATGGGATGGTTATGAAAAGGGAAAAGATTCGTAAATATGTATAATATGCAAATATCATGGGATCATTTTTTAAAAACCTGTGAAGTTCACTGTAGATAATGTATGTAGAAGTGCTTCCATGAGAACAAGGAGCTACATGCTGGGGTGGCGCCAGCCTTATTATGACTAACCATGAAAAGGTCCCCATTAATTAGCCGCCCTCCAACCTGGCTCCCCTGAACCAGCTCCTAGTCTATTGTTGCGGCTGCAGATAGCTGTTGCTTTTGGCTGAGAAGCTGGTGCAGGAAAGGTGATAAGGACAGCTTGGTCTGAGAGCTGTGAGTGTCTGTGGGGTTTAATCATTTGCAAACACTCCTTATTGTGCTCAAGAAATGCAAGGGCCTCTCCAGGGACTAAATGTGTAATGAGGACCAGCTGAATAACAGCAAGCATTTCTTGAGCAATTACTATATATCTGGCATTGTGCTAAATGCTTTGTGTTTCTCATTATCTCAGTTAAACTCCCCATAATCCTGTGGAAGTTGAAGGGGGAGACTGAGGCAGGGACCTGGGGGTGAGGGCTCATCTCTTAACAGCCCAGTCTTTCCTGAAAATTACTGCCATCCAGTGCCCACTTCCACCCACTGGGCCAGGCTCTGAGAACGCAGCTAAGCAGACAGCCCCTGGCGTGTGTGGCCCAGTGACGGAGAACGGGATTCCTTGGCACGAGCTGGGTGAGCAGCCTTCAGCATTGCGTGGAAAGATGGAGGCCTGGGCGGCAGTGAGGGAGGTGTTACTGCTGCTATTTTGCTAACAAGCTGGTTATTTAAAGAACAGACGAAGCCGGAGCTGGGAAATGGGATGAGGTGTCTCCAGGGCAGAGGCAGCCAGGAGTGCCAGGTCCTAAGACCTGGGTACCTGGCTGGATCACAGCAGAGTGGCCACACAGTCATTTATTTTTTTCATCCACTTATTAATAATAGTAACGGCAGCCTGGCACAGTGGCTCATGCCTGTAATCCCAACACTTTGAGAGGCCAATGCAAAAGGATTACCTGAGGTCAGGAGTTTGAGACCAGCCTGGCCAACATGGTGAAACCCTGTCTCTACTAAAAATACAAAAATTAGCTAGGCATGGTGGCACACCCCTGTAATCACAGCTACCCAGGAGGCTGAGGCAGGAGAATTGCTTGAGCCTGGGAGACAGAGGTTGCAGTGAGCTGAGATCGTGCCACTGCACTCCAGCCTGGCTAACAGAGCAAGACTGTCTCAAAAGAAAAGAAATAGGCTGGGCACAGTGGCTCATACCTGTAATCCCAGCACTTTGGGAGGCCGAAATGGGCAGATCATGAGGTCAGGAGTTTGAGACCAATCTGGCCAACATAGTGAAACCCCATCTCCACTAAAAAAAATACAAAAAATTAGCCGGCTGTGGTGGTGGGCGCCGTAATCCCAGCTACTTGGGAAGCAGAGGCAGGAGGATCACGTGAACCCAGGAGGTGGAGGTTGCAGTGAGCTGAGATCACGCCATTGCACTCCAGCCCAGGCAGCAGTGTGAGACTGTGTCTCAATAAATAAATAAAAAGGTAAAATCATAATAGTAATGGCACAATAAAGGCTGGAAAAGGATTGCCTTGGTGGAGAAAAGAAGGCAAAGGATTGGGAGGAGAACCTCAGGGGGTTTCTGAGGGGCCAGCAGTGACCTGGGTGGTGGTTACATGACTATTTCCTCTTGATACTTTATTGCACTAAACATTTTTGTTTTGTGCATTTTTCTCTCTATGTCACATATCACAGTAAAAAGGATAAAAACAATTGTAACAATAATATCTAACGTTTATTGAGCACTTACTAACAGGCTGTTTGCTAACCATTTTACCTTTTGTCTCCTTGAATCCTCCTGGAATCTCTTATTCTGCCCATTTTACAGAGGAGGAAAGTGAGGCTTGGAGAGGTAAAGTTACTTGTCATGCTGCCCAAGAGCGAAGGAAGTGAGATGAGAAACCAGACTGACTCAAGCCCCATGTGCAAGGATCAGGGGCCAGGAAGTTCCCCGCAAAGGGTCAGGGGCTCCTCCATTTGTGCCTCAGACATGTCTGTGCCTCTTGAACTTTTAAGGCTTGGGAGGCCAGGCAGGTATGTGCAGTCATATACAGCAGATGATGGGCCTGGGAATCGCCAAGGGGTCAGAGCAGAGCATTTAGCTGTTTAACAAGTGTCAAAGAACCGGGTGCAATGGCTAATGCCTGTAATCCCAGCACTTTGGGAGGCTGAGGTAGGAAGAGTTGCTTGAGCCCAGGAGTTCAAGATTAGCCTGGGCAATATAGTGAGACCTCATCTCTACCAAAAATAAATAAATAAATAAATAAAATAAATGGCTGAGTGTGGCGGCATGTACCTGTAGTCCCAGCTACTTGGGAGGCTGATGTGGGAGGATCACTTGAGCCCAGGAGGCAGAGGTTATAGTGACCTTAGATTGTACCACTGCACTCCAGCCTGGGTGACAGAGGAAGACCCTGTTTCAAAAAACAAACAAACAAAAAGTATTAAAGGATAGGAGTGGGACATTCCTAGGGACAGCCTCGGGGAGAAGGCCAAGGCATACTCAGGTCTCATCTAAAGTAATAAAAGAATGAGGTGGGAGAATGGCTTGAGGCCAAGAGTTCAAGACCAGCCTAGGCAACATAGGAAGACCCCTTTCTCCAAAAAAATGAAAAAAATTAGCCAGGCATGGTGATGGGTACTGGTAGTCCTAGTTACTCAGGAGACTGAGGTAGGAGGATTGCTTGAGCCCAGAAGTTAGAGGCTGCAGTGAGCTATGATCATGCCACTGTACCTTAGCCTGGGCAACAGAGCAAGACTTCGTCTCTTAGTAAGTAAATAAATGACATAAAATTTGTTTAAAGGTAAACAGTCCACCCAGGTGAGACAGGGTCAGACCCACCTCTGAACTCACTAGATCAGGAGTGGGGGCAAACAGCAATTTTCTGAGGACCTATTATGTGCTAAGCACATTTGTTACCTTTAATCTTCAGAACAACTTTGTGAGATTAGCGGTATTGGCCCCATTTTACAGATGAGGGGACTGAGGCCTAAGTCCACACAGCCAGTGGGTAGTGGAGCTGCTCTGCCAGACTCCAGCACTTTGTATCATGTGTGTGCAGAAAGCCTTGCTTGTTATGGGGTCCCTGGCAGGGCAGGCATCTGGGCATAGATGCTCCAAGCAGCACATGGCTGGAAGCAAGTTCCAAGGCAGCTCTGTGGGGTCCTGAACTGAGGCTGAGGACATGTCGTGGAGCGGGGCATGCTGTGCTGAGAGGGCATCTCTTCATTTATGTGTTCCAAGGACATCTCTTGAGTCTAGTCCCTGCCAGTCCACACCCTTCCCAGAGCACACAGGCTTGGGGAGGGACAGATATTATACAGTCACCCAAAGACACAAACAGAATGAGCAGAGGCTCCATTGGCACAGTGAGGGAAATTAGCATGGTGACATCATGAAGATGAACTGGGTAGGAGACCTGTGTGACATGGCACTGTCCAGGATGGCCCTCTCTAAGGAGATGGCATTTGACCTGAGACCCAAAAGGATGACATGGATCCAGCCTTGCTGGACAGTGCTCATATAACATTGTTGCTGTTAGCAGGACAACTGGGGACAACCCATTTGTCCATCACCACGGGACCAGTTAAAGCCATTTTACTGCAGCCACACAGTGGCACCTGCTGCAGCTGTTAGAAACGGGGCCGCGGAGCTAAATTTATTGTTGTATAAAGAACTTCATAGTGTGTCGTAGAGTTTTTTTTTTTTAAAAGAGGTTATAAAACAGCATGGGTAGCATTATATCATTTCTGTAAGAATTATGTGTGTTTCTGAAAACTGCACAGTGCTCCTCCTGGGAAGTGAGGGCATGGGTGATCTTTGGTTCTTCTTTCTACTTTTCTAGATTTGGAGTCTTT